GGGTAATCATTTTCACCAGTGTTGTGCCAATCTAATAAAAGCAATGGCATTTCCTTTTTACCTGATTCTTTTGTATAATTTCATATTATGTATAAACACACACACACACACACGTGTGTGTGTCACTATATCTATCTATCTATCTATTTATCTATCTATCTATTTATATGTCATTAAAATAATCAAAAAGTTTTGCATGAGGAAGGTGACAGTACGTAATGAAACTCAGCACCTAAGGGCATAAGGCAGTTGTAGGTTTTTTGTTTGTTTGTTTTATTTTTTTTTATTATTAGTATTATTATTTTCAATCAGCACCAATCCCTATGATAATGTCCTACACTTGGTGTAAGATATAAAACTCAGAGGTGAAGTGATTAATTTTTCTCCAACCTCTGAAGCGTGGAAGTTTGCAATACTGGTTGGTTTGTGTTGTTGTTCTTGTTTTCTCCTGTGTGTAAAAAACAAAAGAAAACCTTACCATTTCATTTTTACTTATAAAACATAGAGGATCTCTCTTTCCTTTAAATACATACAGCAACCAGAAAGAAAACTTATTGGAAGGTTATTTCAGAGCTGTCTTGACCATAAACAGTTAACCCACCTCTTCCCCCCCCCATCAAATCCCCTCTTTTAATTGGTGGGTGTTTATTTGTAATAGTGTGCATGTCTGTGTGTGTGTGGAGGGGCTTTTGCATTTAAAGGAGCTTTTAAAGTGAAGATTCGTACTGTAGCAATTCATACAAGAGAGGTCCATCTCTATACCTAATGCCTACAGCGGTGGGGGTGACATACTGGAGAATGTTTATAGTCCTTCTCAACCTTCGGTCTACAAAATGAGCATCCCAAGCTGGGTACCTCTTTCTTGGGATGTCTATCTTAATGAGAGGGCCTTCTGGGTGGAATGGTCTCCCAGACGGAGTTGATGGCACCATAGCTCTCACTTGGAAAACTGGTAAGCACGTGTCAGCTGTGAGTTCCTCCTGTTGCTCCGTGGCCGCTCTGGGTGGCGTAGCCTGGGCCACCCTATACCCAGGGGTTTGAGGAGCCATGGGTTCAATGTCAGGGGGCAAAGGAATGCCCCAGAGCAGCTCGGCGCAACAGGAGCTGGCAAAAATCTTAGCTCTCGGCCCCATGGGATGCAGGACGCCGTAATATAAGAGCATCAGCGCTATCCCAGCAGCGAAGCTAAGAAAGACGCAACAAAGCGCTGGCACAGCATATGAGTCAGTAGTGTCGGGATCTCTGTAACAATACCAAAGGAGCGTCAAGGCAGCATTTTCTGTCAAGACTATGGTGTAATAGGCAAACATTCGGTATCGGGTCCGCCCTTCCTTGACATTAAACCAGCAAAAAATGTACACAATCCCTACCACCATGTTGAAGAGAATCTCTTCCCATTTAGACATGCAGAAATCTGTCCCACCATGGATGATCCAGAAGGCCATGGCGCACCAGTGGACCACGACAAAGATCCCAAAATAGAGCTGGAAGATGGAAGCAAAGAGGGCAAAAGAGATAACTCTGGATGAGATGGTGAAGAGACGCCAGAAGAGATGGATAAGGGCTCCTCTGTAGCTCATGCTCTTCTTGTCATCCCTAGAGTCCCGGAGAAGCTTGTGATAGGAGGCTAGCACCCAAGCCAGGGACATCAGGGAGGCCACAGAGGATACACCTGCCGGGAGAACACACACAAATCCACAGAGTTAAACTGGAGACCCAGGAGAAAGGACGCAGTTGCTTACATCATCCTCCTGAGGGGCAGGTGTGAAGCATGATTATAATGCGGGTCAGGTTAGCGAAAAAGATCTAGAGGAGGAAGAGAGAGAGAGAGAAAATAAGCATAAACATGATCTCACCTGTAATAAATACCGACTACCATTTGCATAATTTTATCACCTATAGAGGCAGCAACTGTAATTTACATGCAGTGGTGGTTTATGATGATGGATCTCATTGCCTATCAGTAAAATGTCTTCATTCTTAAACTGGTAATCTCCTCTCTGTGACATCACAACAGGTAAGCCAGTAATGGCCTAAGGGACTATGATTTCTAACCTTGAATTAACTACCATTCTAAAAGTTTTCCAGAAAAAATGAACTTTTCCCACTCTTATTTGAAGTCCCGCCATTGAGGGACATTCATTGAATTAATCTGTGCACAACATAGGCACAGTATCTCCCATCTGGTATGTCATTACATTTGCTCTCAGATATGTATCTAAGCTTAGTTTATATTCTGATGCATGCATGATAAGGAATCTTTGAGAGTGGCAGTAGTCTCATTTTATCCAATAGCCACAGGTCCAACAGTTTATTTCAAAAGGGAATTAGAGAATCATGTACATGTACAAAGTGCTATTTATTGAGATCTGTCCACAACAAAGGGGTTAAATTTCAAAGATTAGGTCATTAGCCTACCCAGGTTATATGCACTGCTGCTGAGTTATGGCCCTTTAAGAAATAGCTTGTAATTGATCCTTGAGAGATAATTAACCTTGATCTCTCCTTTTCTCTATCTTAACATAATGCAGCCTACCTTTTACAGATTGTCATCCTGCATATGGACTATAACACTTGAGATAGATTGATTGGGAAATCAGACACCTGGCTATAAAGACAGGAACCTAGTCAATTCGTGCTCATGTTGCTTCTGAAGTTGCCAGCCAAGGTTGCCGGTGAAACGCAGGATATCTCTTGTCTAGGCCACAGTCACTAAATCCTAAAGCCCAACAGTGTCTAAACTTTTCCTTAAGTAGGGCTACTATATCTGTGTGGCAAACCTCCAGAAGACCACTAGATGGTGGCATAGAGATAGAGAAACCACTAACTTTGTGTTGCCATTTAGTGATTGTTCAGATGTTTGCAGCCCAGTTATGGTAGCCCTATTTTAACATGTAGTTTCCATATGAAAAAACTTCTTGTGAATGGAGGCACTTTCTATCCTGCTATTCTGCATCTGGAATCTGAATTAATACACTTCATGCAAAGGTTTACTGCCTCAGCAAATTCATGTATGTGAGATGGGTGGCTATATAAATTGAACAAATAAATAAAATGAGGGCTTTCACCCTCTTATCATTTAAAATAGCTTAAGAGCCACACCAGACTTTGGACGACATGTTGAATACTGTACTCCAAAAGGGGATGGGATCAGTGATTCACTGATCCACTGATTTTGGAAGGGGTTTCAGGAATTTTGAAGATAAAATGGCTGCCTTAAATACCAGCAAAGCCCCTTAAAACCTTCAAACCCCTTCCCCCCAGGACATAAAAGGGTCTATGCATTTGGTCCCATTCACTCCAGGAGCCATAAAAGAGAAGGCGGTAAGCCACATGCGGCCAATGGACTGCACTTTTGCCCCCCCCCCCCGCTTATTCTGTGCTACACTTCCCCCCACCCTTCACTGTACTACACAGGTGAAAGTTAAATAACTGCCAACTTTTTCTACTTTTCTCAACAATCCTTTGAATTTTCTTTGTTGGGGGCAGGATTCCTAAGAAAGATAAACCAAATTATTACTCTAATATGGACATGTTTAAGGTATTTCTAGTCTCAGATCTGTATTTGTGGACCATGGAAGCTTACAAACATTGTAGGAGGCCTCATCAAAGTAGAATCAGACTCATCAAGTTCAAAACTCTCCAAGTTGTCTCTAAAAGAAGAGATCATTGTCATTTACTCTTTGCTGGATACAATGCATAGGAAAATATGAAACAAATGTATGGTCTGGAGTAACATTTTGAACCTTCTCCATCAGTTGCTGTCTGATAATTGTTTAACTGGTCCATCCTAGCTGCCATCTAGAGACTCAAAAAAATATTAATTACAGAGAGCTCCTCCATTCATTCTGTAATGGGCAGTAGAAATAACCTTGAGGAACAGGAAGAAGAGCCACAACCAAAGCAAAGATGGGATAAAAGAGATTTGAGTCCAAAGCAGAAATGTAATTTGAGAAAGTATTTCAGATATGACCTTCCCTAGTTCTCATGAAGATAAAAGGAGGGAAGGAGGAAGTGCAGTCAGACTTGTAAGATTCTGTTACTGTAACCTTGTAATAAAGTAGCATTAGCATTAATAGTGTGATTCTGGCATCCTAGCCTGGTCCACCTTGAAGAGCCGACACATTCCAACCTCCAGTGCAGAACTCCCTATATTTGAGATGCCCCACAAACTGCTATCATATACTGAGTTACAACAGTATATAGCCTTCTTATCATCTATTGCAGGGGCATCCATTGGGTGGGGGTCCAAAAAGTCAAGATGGCAGTTGTGACGATGTGAGTGAAGCCACACACCCTTTTTATGTGCCACCTTGCCACTTTTGACTCCTCAAGTGTAGATGCCCTGGTCCACTGAGTGCTTCTGGGTATTCTAGGAGATATTAGGGAAGATTAAATAGGGACCCTCAAGCAAGTGCTCTGCTGCTGAGTTAATTAATTCTCTCTGAAGGGTGGATAAAGCAGGAATAAAGACCCTGAGAGCTCTTAAGATGTCTTGAGGGTAAGCACATTAGAATGCTTTAAATCTTATGGGGGATGGTCCCTTATGAGATAATAGTGTTATTCCTCCAGTTTAGAGCAATAACAAGAAATTGAAATAGCAGATAAACATGTCCTCCTATTATATGTTAGTTTCTGTGTGTGTGTGTGTGTGTGCATGTGTGAGAGAGAGAGGGACAGAAAAAGAACAAACATAATTTGGTTCCTTGCTTGCTGGCACCATCTAGACTAGCTGGGGAATTCTGGGGGTTGAAGTCCACACATCTTAAAGTTGCCAAGTTTGAAAAACATTGATCTAAACTCAGAAAACTGCAAAACATTTAAGGATAATTCAATATCCATTGCAAAAGGTGCAAAATAAGAAATTGTCAGAGATTTGGGGATCTAAATCAAAGGCCTCAGGGTCTGAAGCTAGAAGCTGGCCTAGCTCACAATTCTCTGGAGTCTGTGAATTCTTCTAAATCCTTTTGAAGCACAGGGGAAAAAATAGCAGTGCCATATCAGCTGTTATTTTAGAATCAGAATTTTCCATGAGCTTGTATAAGAAAGTCCAGGATTGAAGGACTGGGGTTAACCCTTGTTTTCTGCCAACTATGGGTAAGAGAGAGAGCATCTTACCAGCCATTATTAATGGCCAACATTAACTGCAGGGTATGTTTGAATTTTCTTTCTCACTGTACTGTATCCAGTTAGAATCACTCTGAAACATTTGTCTTCTACTGTTACCTTCCTTCAAATTTACATACAGTAATTTACGTGCAAAAAAAAAAAATCATTGTTGAAATGGCACTGTTATTGTTAAATCACTTTGACTGTAGTTTTCCAATTCCTAGAAAACCTCTATGGCTTCCCTTCCTAGAAAATCAATATCTGGGACTGAAAGAGCGAATGCTAGACTTGACAACTTGCCTTCCTCTCTAATGTTCCACAAGGATGTTCACCGCAAAGTGGGCAGGGGAGAGTATACTGAGATCCTGCAAAAGTGGGAATGGAAACCATCTCACAGACCTTAGGAAATGCCTTTTGGCCTTCAGAAATGATGAGCTACTGTATATCTTCTTTAATCTTAAGGAAGTTCAGGGATTGGGGGAACTGTGGAGTCCTCGGTGCTCTCTGTGCTTGGTTGTTTGCTTGCAGACATTTCATTCCCTGACTAGGTAACATCATCAGTGCTAGTGAGTGTGGGGTTTGATCTCTGTTTATATACAGTAGCTTGCCCAGCCAGTGTTGCTGGGGTTATGGTTTTCTTCTTGGTAGTTCCTTGATTAGGGTATTGTTTTCTGCTTGATTATTTGTCTGGTGTTCATCCCTGCTTATCTGGGTGTTGGATGTGTTCTGGTCTTTTTGTTTCCTTCTTAGCTTTTTTATTGTCTCTTTTGAATGGTGT